CTCATAAGAATCCCTGATGCAGAGCATGTGAGACATCTCAGACTGCAGCACACAAATTGTGCAGCGTAGGACTGTGGGTGGGCTAGCTCCTTGGGCCAAGACAAAAAAAACACACACACAGATGCATGAGGATCCTCCGTTATTTGAAGAGATTCTCATTGCAGATAAGCAAAAGTTGCCCCTGTCTTCTGAATGTCATCACGCAGCAGTGTTTTACTCCTTTGGCTTCCTTGGGTACCGCGCTACTTTTCGTGAAGATGACCGATAGTGACATCAGAAGCACTAAAAGTAGGAGCAGAGGGGATATGGCTCTGAATGGGCTGCAAAACCTTTTATGTCTTCAGGTCCAAACAAAGCCAAAAAAACACATCTACAGCCTGATTTTTTATTTTTTTGTTTCCTAAAATGCAGATAATGACCTTGACGTGGAGAAAAATAGACAAACAGCTGTGGAATACATTGATGATAATTGTGCATATTGTTACAGAGCCATTATGCAAACTATTATGTAGAAAAAAGACCTCTTTTTAGCAAAGGAAATTTCTTCAGCTTTAAGAAAATACAAGAGTTGCCTCAGAAATCTGTGACTTAAGAGCTCTTAAATTATGCATACAAACAGTTAAGAAACTAACAAAACCCAGATACTCATTAAATAACAGAATCTGGATAGCCTCATTGCACGTTGAACAGTCTCCAAATAAAAACACTCTTTTTTAGTGTTCAACCACAGATTTTCAACCCACGTCCAATATGAGAATAGTTGCCTGAAGTCTTGCTATTGCAGTTGGCTAATGTCGCCCTGCCCTTTAAATATATCCAAGCTCCCTTTCAGCTCAAATACTTTACATCCGCGGCTTTATCAGAAGTGGGAGGCATGTAATTGTGCTGATACAATAGTGTCCCTTTCAATATATAGAGGTAAGAGCGAGGTAACACCGCTCTCATTACTGATGCAGCACTGGCAGAATGCTCAGAAGTGGGATCACACTGTGGATGCAACTAAGCTCCTTTTTTTTTTTTTGCCGTTAAGTATATGATGATTATGACGAAAATAGGACAGATGTGTTTGAACATTTGCCAACAGACAGCTCCTTTTTGTGAGTGTCACCCTACTTTTCAGTTCGCTTTTAGCTTTTAATGACGGTGTTCAGTAGACAAAAAATGTTAAACCCCCGATGCAAGCACCGCAGCCCCGAGCGCTTGGCTCGGTATCTTAAAGCCTACGAACTACAGCGGGGAAATCTTGCGGATCATCCCATGGTGAAAAAACTAAGATTAAAAGAGAACCGATTTTTTTTCAAAAACAGCTCTTGTAATTAGAATTAAATCAGCATTAGTGTTGACATGCTCTGCTATAAGCACCGCGCGTCTAATTGCTTTTAATATTTTGCCGGTGCTATGCAAACGCTGCATAATGGCAAAAAGGCACTCAACAATCATTGTCGCAATAGAAGTTCCGTGCCACCTGAGAGACACTCGCAGGATATTTTCTTGCAACAACTACAGCTTCAGTAAATACACCAGCAGGTTGAATCAACACCCCCAGTAGTCTCAGGCAAAGTCAAACATTGTGAGTTACATCAGACTGGTATTGCTGTAGGGCCTTTTATTGCAAGGTTTCTCTTATTTCGCCAATCCACTGTCTTGTTCACCGCTCTGCTGATGAGCTAGGATGCAAAATGTGTAACACAAAGCGGGAGACAGTGTTTGAATATCGGGACGTAGTTTTGAATAAAGTTATTTCCGATTTTTGCAGCGTCACCATCCAACTTCCTCTATCCAGCAAACGTATTGTCTATTGATGTCCCATCTGCAAGTTGGAAGAGCGGATCATTGTTTCATTACGAACAAAAAGCAACCCCATTCTGTGATCAAACAACAGATCGATAAAAAAAAGACGTAAATAATTGAACATTTGCTGCCCTTGTTGAGACGCCAACACCCATCAACACCCAGTCAGGCCCTAGCCTGGGTCCGCAAACACAAAGCAATACAGATAAGCGACTTATCTCTATATATTATTTGTTATTAGTTCACGTCCATGTGATAAAGCACCTGGACTACTTAGCAACAGCACATAAAGAACCCGCTGACAAAAGACCTTAATGGTTTTGTGGCTTTCATTAACAGGAAAGCCACTGTAGAAAGTAGTTGGAGCATTTTTCAAAAAGCACCGCTGAAAGACGACGGTATATTTACTTTAAAAGAGGAAGGCATGAGGTCGGGAGTTCTTTTTTGAAAAGTGACTTGCAAAACCATTTCAAATACACAGCTTCTTACTCTTATCGCCGCCATTAAAATAACCCCCGCTGTTTAAATATTGATTGTATTTTGTGGAAATGCTTGAATCTGCTTGGAAAACATACTTTTTTAAGCTGATATAAGGTTGTGTAAATGAACTGGCGAGTCATATATACGCTACCTTTTTTTTTTTCATTCTGCAATAACTCCTCAGTCATTTTCATCCATTGCAAGCTCTCAAGTATTTTCAAGGTTGTCATTTTTTGCTACCTCTATCCATCTATGTGTGTCGGGTAACTGCTAAGGTCAAGCATAGATTTGCGCCCCTCCTATGATGTTCCAGATGGGGGGTTCAATTTACACTAATCCTGTGACAAACCCACTTGGCTTTAAGCAACAGACACATAAAACTACAGTGAGGGAGACATTCCCTGGCCCATCTGAAAGTGATCAACCAGCGAGCTGCGGAGAATTACAGCCGGGGGTGGTTTAGATTCAGATGAATCCACATGAATCCCCAGTACTGTACTTTGATTTATCAAGTCTGGCTTTTTTAAATCATCACACAGAGGCGTGAGCTGGAATGAGGATGACATTCGGCTTTTCGGCGCCGCAGGGAGGTCAGGGGTCAGGCTGTGCTACGACTCAGCTGGAACCAGTTGCACTTCGGTGTCTTGTTCAAGGACACAGACCAGCTTGAACCCCGGTTCGCTGCGTGAAGGAAGGTGTGCAATGTGCCACTGTTCTCATCCCCCGCTAAGACTTATCCACTGGACTTTCTACAAATAAATTGCTCTCTCATAAGGACGGATTCTCTTGTATTGTGTGTTTTGTGAATGGCTTTAAAGCTGGAGTAGGTACTTTGTGGTTTGTTTGGAAAATGGGCAAAGATTCCATAATTTCAGCTAACTCAGCATATCGTAATTAAAGTGGTCTGAGATAAAAACTGGACTGCAGCACCTATTGGCTTTGTTTTCAGGCATGATGGCAGACTGTGGTCTATCACAGGTCATTTCAGAGAGGGGCTTTCTTAT